AGGACTGGTTTGGTTTGTGAATGTGGGAAAAACAAATTGTTGCACTTTATTGCCCAATCCCAGTACCCGGGAAAGCTCCTGGTTCTCTGCAGACTGAGCATCCTTAGCAAAATGATTTTTTTTTGAATTCTTGGATAAAGTTAGCCAACTTTTTTTGTGTTTTTTTTTTCTTGTTTGTTTCATTCCACAAGTCAAAAAAGTTGGATAGTATCCCTAAGGGATTTAAAAAAAATTTTTTTTTTCTGTCTTTTGAATTATGCAGAGTGAAGACTTTTACTTTCTCTGTTTCAGGCCCGTTTTTAAACTCATCTATATGTGTAAATAAAACACGTGAAGTGGAGTGCCTGGGTTACTCTTCCATGCTTTCTCCCTAGTTTCAAAATCTTTTAATAAAGTTATTTTTCTCAGAGAAATGTATTTTTGTTTCCTAAAAAAAACCCCAAAATTGCAGAGGGAAGCAGTGTAGCTGCTTGGGAAAATTTCTCCTGGCATGTGACAGGTATTTGTGGTAGAATTGAAAGGTTCTAGATGTCATCCTGATGTTTTTGATCTTGTTTGTCTATGAATAACAAATCTATCTTAAAAAAATTTCCAGTTTCTGTGCAGTTTCAACTCTTATGTAATGTAGGTTTGGCTCTTCCCTGAAGTCTGTGTCGAGCAGAGGACAATACTTCAAAGAATGATTCCGTAAGTTCTTCCAAACTGTACTTTTTGTATGGTGAAATTCTATTTCATGTGGTTCTTTTTTTTTTTTTTTTTCCTTCTTCTCTGTACTTTAGCACCTGAGGCACCTGTGGCCAGCAACCCTGCCCCTGCAGGCACCAGACCAGCATGGATGAGGAAAGATCAGCCTCACACTCAAAAGCACTTTGTCTATGAAAAGCCATCAGAGGTAAAAATTACACAGTTACTAGCAGAATCTTACCTTTTATTAAACTTCAAATGATAAAAAACGTCAGACTTTTTGACAATGTTTAAAAACAAATTAAAAACTCTGCTGAGATGAACTTTGGGCTTTTACCAAGCAGAGTTTTCAACTGTCTTGCACATGTGGCAAACAGAAAGTTACAGTCCCTTTGGTTAGTCTCAGGCTTTGAGTAGTCATTACGGACCTGTTCATAACTCCTTTTTCTTGGAGAGCCAAAAGAATATGTTCTCCTAAATGTTCAGAACGATGCAGTGTCCTAAGCATGATTTGAGCTCTGCTTTTTCTCTTAGTTGGGATATCCATCTTATTTGTTACAGGGGAAGAGTGTGGGATTTGTTTTCTAGGCTTTGCTTTATGTCCCGTCAGCAGATGAAGGATATTGTGCTCTGGATTTTCTTGCTTGGGAAAAAGAATCTTCAGCACTTCTTTCTAAGACAGAAGTGTTTGAAAGGCTGTCATCTTGGCTTGGAAGGATTGGAGATAGTCTGGGAAGGTTCTCTTTCCTCTGTGGCAGAGCCCTGGTATCTATATTGTCCTATATTTTGACCCTCTTGCTCGCTCAACTCAGTAGCTCCTTGCATCTCAGCACTCAGAGAAGAAAAGCTTAAATCCCTGAGACAACCAGAACGATAATCCAGGCTGGATTAAACTCCTGTGTTTGCTTTTTGGTTTTTGTCAACACAAAAACCAGCTGCCTCAATCTGTGCAGACCGTTTTAAAGCGTCACCTCCTGCTATGTGTGCTCTGTCCTGTGTTTGATTTGTTCATCCCTCCTATAGTTGCTCTGGATTTTTGCTTCCAAAAGTAAGGATAAGAATTTTTTTGGTTGCAGTTGATAAATAGCAAGTATTGTAATACTCCAAATAATTTAGAAATGAATGTCCTTTAGGGGGCAGTTGATGGCTAAAAACTACTTGCAGTAGTAGCTGCATTTGAGAGTTTCTGGGGCGGGAAGAGAGTGGGTGGGTTGTTGCTGCTCACCAGTTCTCCAGAGCTTTGTCTTTCTCACTGACATACCAGTACGTGGCTGTAGAGAGTCCCTAGAGATGGCAATTAGCTCTGTTTGACCAGAGCATGCCAGGTACTTAAATGTTTAATATTCACCACGTATCATCTCGTTACCTTTCAGGTGGAGCGCAAAGTTCCCGAGGCAGGTGTGATAGAGTGAGTATGCTGCTGGCTTGACTGTCCTTCGTGCTGTTTTTCTGTCTTGTTGGTATGTGGGAATCTACTGAAAAAGAGCTCCTTCTCCACTTCCAGCTGCTGTGCCTTTGGAAGAAATTTCAGTAGAAAATGTCAGTAGAAATCATAGAATATGTCAAGTTGGAAGGGACCCATAAGGATCATCAAGTGTAACTCCCTGCTTCTCGCAGGACTACCTGAAAGTAAACCATATGACTAAAAGCATCATCCAGAACTGCTCATGTAGTGCTAGAAATCTTCTAGAAGATGAAAATGTTTCTCCCAGGCCAAGGATCCTGCTCTTTGAATCTGACCCTTCAGCTCCCTCCTTTGGCTCCTAAGCACTGTTTCAACTTCACTCAAGTTTTAAGTTCAAAACACAGGAAAATTAATTGGAGAAAAACTATAATTAAGCTCCTCCTTGACGCACTGATGCTGAGGGAAAAACAGGCATGACTTTTATTTTTCTCTTGCTGACACTAGCAAGGTTTCCTGAAGGCAAATTCAAATATGATAGAAGCAAGAACTTCCTCGGTGCCTACGAAAAACTAAGCTGACAGGGTGGCAAGATCACTTTACACTGAATTTCAGTAGAACTTTTTTCCTGAGCTAAATTTTGAATCAGGAGAGTCCAAGTTGGTGTTAATTAGTTTTTATAGCTTTGGTGTAGCTGTATAAGCCAGGAAGAACAAACAATTGGACATTCTGGGTCAATGTCTCCTTTGGTTAGCAATGTATGTTTTTCTAGAACAGTCCCTGTGTAAACTGTGCTGGAAATTACTTGCTGTTATCCAGGAATGTAGCTGGTATGACAACTCAAGCAGCACTTCCTTTGAAGGTTCAGAAAAGTAGCTGCTAGTAAGTGGCATAGTGAAGCTAAAGATCCGTAGATCACTTCCCCTTTGTGTTGAAACAGGGATCTTCTCAGAAAAACTTTGGCGTGCAATGTGACAAGGTGTGGTGGTGTACGGTGAAGTTATAGATTTTGAGAATTAATTTTTCTTTAGTTTGGTTGTCTTGGTGGAATTTTCTTACTCAGTGTGCCTATACATGCAAACATAGCGGTCAGGGTGAGGTCTGGTATGATTGTCTCCTTTAGATTCCTCATGACATCCCTCATTTGCTGATCTCCAGAGCCCTCAAACTGTGTATTGAGCCTTTGGTGAAATGAGAGTGAGAGGCAGGAAGTCCACACAAACTCATTTGCTTCTACAACACACCTTGCTGCCTTACTCTGTGCTCTGACAATCTCCAGAACAGTGTTGCTTCCCTTTATTACTTTTCTTTTTTCAAGAAAACTTTCCCTAGTCCAGGCTTACGGCAATTCCACACCCATGCTCCTCAGTGTAAGAAAATTCCTTGTTGTTTGTCCATCTGATGACTTTTTTTTCTTTCTCCATCCTCAGCAAGCCTGGTGTGTATGAGCTCAGCAAAGTTCCAACTGGCATTTCTAGGTAAGTGGGTGAAACTTGTTATTTGCTTTTGCAGAACGGCGCGGTGATGCTCAGCTTCCTGAAATCTAATCCCTGTAGAGTGTTTTGACTCCAGCAGCTGCACGTTGCCCTTCCCGTGTATCTTCTGTTCAGAGTACTTCTGGAAGTACTTAGGGTGTCAGGTAGCAGAGACTTGTGCAGTTCTGAGCAGCACTGAAGAGAAGAAAAATGAACCTCTTAACGTCTATCACACACTGCATCTAGTGTTCCTGGCTGGAATAAGGAGAAGGGGCTAATATCCATTTGTTTCACGGTCCAGAGTAAGTTGCTGCTGGAAATTTGGATGAGTTTTCCTGCGTTAGCAAGTGTGTGATGTCTGTGTTGTGTAGTTAAGAGCTGCCAAAACCTTTTGGCTGTAGATTGGACTTGTTTGAAATGAATCTAATAAAAGCATTTAACTTTAGGCAGATTTGGTAACTTTAGGATTGTTCCTTTTGCTTATGTGCTATCTCTTAATTATTTCACTTAATTATTTCAGCTTCAGGACGCTTCAAAACAAAACCTACTTGTTCTGTGGTTCCTACTGACTGAAATGGATTTTATTTTACCTTGCTGACTTAGCTGCAATATCAGTATTAATCTTTTATTCGGAATTTGATAGATTTTATTAATAGTGGGGAAAAAAAATGCCAAGCACATAGTAACTTTTTGTGCATTTATTTCAAAGCTTTCATCTTGGTTTCTCCTAAAGCTGCAAATAAATTTTTATACCAATTTGAAAAGTGAAAGCTTTGACCAGCTGAAAAGAGAAAAGATACACAGGCAGCTGGGTTATTCTGGAGTTTGCTTTCATAATATGTTGCTGGAATATACACGTTTCTGGAAAGTTAATAATGGGATTTTTGCATCTCTCAATGCCTTTACTATATTTTCTGATTGAATATTTGTGAAAGTAAACTCTTGTGAGCAGCGTTCCTGCTCTGCAGCCCGTCCCGCCACAGTGGCTGGAATTTTCGAATGCTGCTGTTAGTACAGTCAAAATATAAAATGTATGTATGAAAATGGAAAAAATAGGAGAGGTTAAATACTCTAGGGTTCTTGTGCTTGGAAAAGAGAGGATAGGATGGCAGTAGTGATAAAGGGCTGTCGAATTCCGAGTGGCGTGGAGATGGTGAATAAAGGGCAATTATTTACTTATGTGGGTGGTAGTACCATAACCAGGGCTATCTCATTTATCAGATGTGAAGTTACTAACAGAAGGATGGAATTTTTCACACGGTATGTGGCTGATTTTGGGACTCATACGATATTGTTTGTGTCACTCGGTTTTATAGGTTTTAAAAAGCAATTAGACATGTTTGGTGAGGGGAGGACTCACCAGGAGCTCCTGCTCCTTTCTGTTCTTCCTTTCACACCTGCTTTTGGCTGTCTTCAGGAATAGGATACTGGCTTTGACTTTTGGTTTGATGTGTTACAGTCGTTCTGAGCTCCTTGGGGAATCCTTGAAATTAAAATATTTTATCAAAGCATATGTAGAAATGTGTATTCCATCTTTTCTTTGTCTTTTCTTCCTCAGGATTCATTTGATTCCTGGCTTTGTTGACTCGGAACAAGCAGACTGGATGTTTGAACAGCTCCTCCAAGACATACCCTGGGGTCAGCGAACTCACATCAGACAGGGTAAGGAATGTGTAGACCAGCTTTTCAGGTCATTCCCAGCTCATTTCCATATCAAAATCCAGGCATTGTTTATCATTGTTTTTCATATTACGTATTGGCACTCCTTCACATTTTCTTCCAGGCTTTCCAGGCATATCTGAAGAGTACTGCTGCTTTTATTTCAAGCTCCATCACCATGTTCCTGTTACCAATTAAATGAGATCTTCCCAAATTAAAATTGCCTGTCTTAAAAATCTTTGAATTTCACTGCCTCCTCTGTAATCTCCAGTTCTTTTTCCCACTCTTTTTTTAAAGTAAGTAAGTAATATTAGTAAGTAAGTAAGTCTGTGCTCCATCCCTTCCATACTGTCTCCCAGTGATCCTGCAGAAACTGTGTTCTCTGAGGTTTCTGTCACCAGAAATGTGTTTTTTGTTTTGTTTTTTTTTCCCTTTCTCTCTTAAACTCCCAGCAGAGCATGTTTCTTTTCCCTTGTCTTTGCTTCTTAGTTCCAGTATGCAGTAAGTGAAGAGACTGCTATTCTGGATTTGTTCACTAAGGGGCACCTGTTGTAGCTGAGTTTCACTCAGGAAGGGATGTGAGTTAATTATATCAGAGTAGTTACTGGCCAGGGCTGGAAAATGTCTTCAACATCTGTGTTTACTGGCTTGCAGTAAAGGTGCCATGTCATGGAGAATGTTACCTGTCAAGCATGAGAAATGGCCACCAAGATAGTCTCTTCAGAAGCTGAAAGTATTTTTAACTTGATGTTTGTGTTACACCATAGAGCACACACCTATTTGTCAAAATATTACTTGTCCAGCCACGTTCTGCTTCTGTAATGCCCCGTTGATGCTGCAGCCCTTTCCACTTCAGCCTTTCCGGTGGATGTGTCACGCCATCGTGTTGGGCACTGGAACCAGGAGAATATAAAACAAGCCAGAATTTCAGTTTCATTCTGCTGTCTTTAACTTGTCTGGTCCCTGCCCTGTCCAAAATTTTGACAAGGTAATTCCTCTTGCAGAGCCAGGCCTCTTTATGAATAATCTCATTCCTGCACTTGGGTTCCTTATGTAAGGCTGAGGATTTTAAGAGGTTGCTTTTTAACTTTAGGTGAGTGGACAATCCCTTTTTGATCACGTTTCTTGGCAGAATTGCGTCATCTTCCCATTTTCAAACCTTTTGATAAGGCAACTGAGAAAGTCTTTCTGTTTTCCTTCTTTTTTTTTCAGAAATATCTTTTGAGGAACCAAGGCTTACTTCCTGGTATGGGGAACTTCCTTACACGTACTCCAGGATAACAATGCAGCCAAACCCAAATGTATGTAGATGTTTACAGTTTTATTATCATCTACAAAGAAATCCTTTGCAGAGATTGAGAGACAAAAATTCCCTCTAGCCTCTGTTTTTATCTAGAGTGTCAGTATTCATTTGTGATCCACGGCAGATTCTAGTGGAATGTGGACAACTTCATAAACCAAGCATTAGGAGTGGATCGACTGAGAGGAGCATGATTTAGTTGCTGAACATTGGCAAAAGGAATTTCAGAATTTAAAGTTCTGCTTTTAGGTCGGCGTAGCTTTGGACAAAACTCTGAATTGCTCTGCGTGGCTTACTCTGTACATCTTTATATGGGAGGTTGTGGTGTACACAGGCGTGCTGAGCTTTTTGTTGCAAAGATACACTGAAATAGTTACTTTCAGAAACACTTGGATTCCATGCTGCTCTAAAGGAGAATTTAGGCATATTGTTGGTGCCTCTATGAATGCTACATTCACACACGACCTGCCTGCTCAGCCACTCCAGATTGTATAATGTAATTTCCCACGTTATTTTGGGAGGGTTAAAAATCTGAGTCGTTGATTTTTTTTCTTCATGTTCACTCTCTCTCTTCCAGCCTGTCGTCCCATTGGCATGTCTCTTGGTATTGCTTTGTTGGAAATTTCAAACAAAGCCTACTGGCAGTAGGCTGCAGTGTTCTGAACCATAAATTAAGGGTGACTGTCGGAGGCTGGATAGTGCCCAAAGTCCCACAACTGCTGCCAAAGGGGGGCACCTCCTAGGAAAGCTCAGTTTGGGAAAAGTGTTATTTAACAAGACAAGTTGTGAAGTTCAGAAATTCCCTAACCTGTGGAATTTGTGGTGGAAAAATAGGCTTTTTTTTTTTTAAACTCATTCGTGGGATATTTATTATTTTCAATGGACTTTTCTGGAAGCTGAATGACTTCAGGGATGGAAAGTGCCCTCACAAAATCATTCTGCTGTACAGTAACGATTTAAATCCAGTTCAGAATTGCCTGTTGTGGAAGCCCTTGCTCCTCAGAGGTTGGATAGAACCTATGTGCCCTGAATTCATGACTTCACTTTAGTTTGCATAAAGGTCAGAGTTAGCACTCATTGAGCCACTGACGTGTTTTTCTCATCCAAGAGGTACAAGGTCTAAATCAGTCACGCACACCAATCCTGTCTTTTATCCCTGAATAATTCTTTTTACTGAAAGAAACTCCAGCAGAAAGTGAGATGCACTATTGCATAGGCAGATATATGGGTTAGGCTGCGCACAGACGCTCTGACATTTCGCTCAGCTTTGTAGGTGGGAGTTCCTGCAGCCCTAGGAGAAGCAGTGGATGGCACAAAGAGCACAGTCCTTACCTGTAGAATAGAGTTTATATCGTAAAACATCCCAAGTAAAATGGAATTTAGTGCACAGCTTGGCCAACACCATTTACCTGCCCTGAACACTTGATCTGTAAGAGTAACGAGCTTTGTGCTTGTCCTTTTTCATTTGGCAAGTCTGGGTGTGATTGCAGCGCTGTTAGGCATAATCCAGTGCTCATGCCTCAACGAATTTTGGTGTTAAAAAAATGTTTCTTTGTAAACAGTGATGTAGTTGGTGACAAATTAGTGTTTCAACAAAGTACTTCCACTGCTGCAGGTTTGTAGTGGAGTTTCCACTGAATTGTAAAATTCACCGTGCGGTAACGTTTTTAGTAATAAATACTTTAGTGGTAGGAATTGGAGGAATCCAGTCCAAGTTGGATCACTGAAAAGTGCTTTCAGTAATCCTTGTTGGACTGTTGTGTCATTGCTTCGTCTGTCGTGCACGTACTGTGCATTCAGACAGCCCAGTAACGAGCTGTAGCTTTTTTTGGGATGGTATTACTGATTTCCCTACCTGTCCCATAGCTGCAAGCTATGTTTTTGTATAATTAATTACTCACATGATTGTCATTGAAGGTATTTCTGTTTAGCTAGAAATAACCCTAACAGAGAAAGATGGTACGTTGAGGCTTCTGCAGTGTAGCCAAGAGGTTAAAAACACTTTAAAACACTTTAAGCATGGAAAGAAGGGGGTGCAGACTCGATTATTAGAGGTGGATACTAGGAAATAATTTCTGCTGTTTGTTCCCACCTGGAATACTGCATTCAGCTCTGCAGTCCCCAACACAAGAAGGACATGGAGCTGCTGGAGCAGGTCCAGAGGAGGCCACGGAGATGATCCGAGGGCTGGAGCACCTCTGCTATGGAGACAGGCTGAGAGAGTTGGGGCTGTTCAGCCTGGAGAAGCAAAGGCTCTGGGGAGACCTTCCAGCAGCCTTCCAGTGCCTAAAGGGGCTACAGGAAAGCTGGAGAGCGGCTTTGGACAAGGGTGTGTAGTGATAGGACAAGGGGCAATGGCTTTAAACTGAAAGAGGGGAGATGCTATGATTCTATGATTTAGATTAGACATAAGGAAGAAATATTTCACTCTGAGGGTGGTGAGGCACTGGCACAGGTTGCCCAGAGAAGCTGTGGCTGCCCCATCCCTGGAGGTGTTCAAGGCCAGGTTGGATGAGGCTTTGGGCAACCTAGTGTAGTGGAGGGTGTCCCTGCCCATGGCAGGGGGGTTGGAACTGGATGGCCTTTGAGGTCCCTTCCAACCCAAACCATTCTATGATTCCCTCTTCTGCCAGTGATGCACTGGGAGATTTGGAATCAGTTCTCTATCCTCCCTTGATCTCCATTTCTGCTTATATAATGGGCAAAAATTCTGTCCTACATTGTTTAGTTGTTGTGGTTTTTTCTATATACTTAAAAGCACTCTGACAGATGAAAGTCATGACGTGAGTTTGTAACGTTAAATAATGATTCACTGGACTGAGTCGTAGTGGAATGTGCAGAGCTGCCGTGGGCTATGGGCTCAGCAAGACGTTAGCAAAGGGAAGGAGGAAATTCAGGACCTGTGGAGGGTTACAGTGTCGAAGTCAAACCCCAAGAGGTGATGAGTTGGGCTTAAGGAGCTGAACTAAGAGCAGGGACAGAGGGCCATGCTGTGATAGTGTTAGACCAGCCATTGCCTCTTGTTCCGTGTCAACAGCTGCAGGCGACTGAGAGGTGTCATTGAGTCACCGATGGCAACTTTCTGGATGCCCCATGCCCACCAGCAATGGCCAAGTATCTCAGATGTTATCAGGCCCCTGTGTTAAACTCCTATAGCTTGGCCAGGAGGTTAAAAGAACAGGTAGGCATGGGAGAAGTTGCATGTTTTTTGTCCTAGTTAAGAGCTCCCGATGTTTGTCCGTGGTCAGTTCAAGCAGATTTTACTGTCTGCTTTCTCACTTTCCAGTTAGCCGGGGTGGCTGCCTACATCACAAAGCCAGTCTGCTTTTCATGCTAGTTCTAAGAGATGACTTAGTATTGAGTGATAGTTAACGTATGCCTATTTTGCAGAAAGCCTGTTCCTCAGCTTTACTAAAAGTATTATCAGAACCCCCTAGAGGCATTTGTTTGATTTCATAGAATCATAGAATGGTTTGGGTTGGAAGGGACCTCAAAGATCATCTAGTTCCAACCCCCTGCCATGGGCAGGGACACCCTCCGCTATACCAGGTTGCTCAAAGCCTCATCCAACCTGGCCTTGAACACTTCCAGGGATGGGGCAGCCACAGCTTCTCTGGGCAACCTGTGCCAGTTCCTCACCACCCTCTGAGTGAAAAATTTCTTCCTTAGATCTAATCAAAATCTCCCCTCTTTCAGTTTAAAGCCATTGCCCCTTGTCCTATCACTGCACACCCTTGGAAAAAGTCCCTCTCCAGCTTTCCTGTAGACCCCCTTTAGGTACTGGAAGGCTGCAATAAGATCACCCCGGAGCCTTCTCTTCTCCAGGCTGAATAGCCCCAACTCTCTCCACCTGTCTCCATAGCAGAGGTGCTCCAGCCCTCGCATCATCTTTGTGGCCTCCTCTGGACTCACTCCAGCAGCTCCATGTCCTTCTTGTGTTGGGGACCCCAGAGCTGAACACAGTATTCCAGGTGGGGTCTCAGAAGAGCAGAGCAGAGGGGCAGAATCCCCTCCCTCGCCCTGCTGCCCACGCTGCTTTGGATGCAGCCCAGGACACGGTTGGCTTTCTGGGCTGCCAGCGCACGTTTCGAGTTTATTGTGGTTTAAGTGCAGGATATTTTGTTTCTTAGTAGTTTTCCCTTTGTGTCTCGTGCTGCTGCTGACCTGCTTTCGTTGTCTTTACCCTCCTGCTGCTGTGCTGATTGCAGTGGCATCCTCTGCTGACCATGCTAAAGGAGCGCATTGAGGAGGTCACTGGCCATACCTTCAACTCTCTTCTCTGCAACCTCTACCGAAACGAGAAGGATAGCGTAGACTGGCACAGCGACGACGAACCAGCACTGGGGAAAAATCCTGTCATTGCCTCGCTCAGCTTCGGCGCTACCCGGACCTTTGAGATGAGGAAGAAACCCTCCCCTGTGAGTGTTCATATTGCGTTGAGACAGTCCTAGAGTTACTGATACGTTGAGTATTTTCCCTCTGTTCAGAGAATTACTAGTAGTTAATGGAAGTACAACTCGTAAAGTTCCGTGGAGTAAGTGTAGGGATGGAGAAATCCGTCGCGTGGAATGTGACATCTTGAGGGTGGGAATGGGGCCACACTAGTAACGTGCAGCAGCGTAGTGCTGCAGTGAAATTGCAGCCTGAGCGTTCTTCTGCCAAATAAAAGCCTTTCCCATCACTTCAGATTGAATCTGTGATGGTGGAAGGGGACTTCCACTGTGTAAATGAACCAAAGGGTCGACACCATTTTCTTAAACTCAGGCAAACATTGTGTAGTGCATAGTGTATGTGAGATGAAGGCTTAGCTCTGCCTGCTCTTGTAAGTAAAAATCCTCTTCATCATGTTTGCATTCTGACTTGTGTGTTCAGGTTGAGGGATAGGGAACACAGGGAAGTACCGAATTTCCATGCCATAAAATACCAAACTGTTGCATCGTACTTTTTAGATCTTTGCCTTGATTAGGAGGCACGTGTGGAACATCCTTTCACGAATCAGTCGGTGATTCAGTAGTGAATACTCTTTCCAGATAAAATGCTGTGCTTGGGAATGCTGTCAACAAGCCAGCTAACTTAAAACTTAAATTTTGCAGTTTGTGTTTATCCAAGTGAAGGCATCAGACATTCCTGTTTTGCAAATACAGGCCTTGTTTTTAGGGTATCCTGCTTCAGATGCCCTTTCTGCATGTGTAGTCTTGGAGAACTTTGGGAAGAAGTTTACCATCTGCTTGTGTTGCTGTTTACTGTAAGTAATGCAGAGAGTAAAGGTGATGATGTAGATGCCCCATCCCTGGAAGTGTTCAAGGCCAGGTTGGATGAGGCTTTGAGCAACCTGGTGTAGTGGAGGGTGTCCCTGCCCATGGCAGGGGGGTTGGAACTAAATGATCTTCGAGGTCCCTTCCAACCCAAACCATTCCATGATTCTCTGATTATCAGCCTATTAGATAAATGTATGCTGATGTACTGAAGTCTGCCCATCAAGAGTCACCTCGGGTCACCTGGTTGTGAGCAGCAAAGGTCAGAATTTGAACCAGAAAACAAATCAGTAATTTGCATTTTTTTACCACTTCTCTAATTTGTAAATTCTTTGTTGTCTGAAGTGAATTTAATCCTGGTCCCTGAGCGTGACATCACATAACTAGTGTGTTACGTCAGTGGGCGTAGCATGAGTAAGTATCTCTGATTCTGTGATGATAACAGAATATCAGCTGGAAAGTTCCTTCCTCTGGGAAACTGTAAATGGTGCTTGGATTCATTTCTAGAAGTGCAGTGTTGCCCTTCGATAGATCAGAATGAAAGCCACTTAGATTTCAGTACAAACTTTGCAGTTTCCCCTCTTAAAAGTCAAACCCAGTTCTTGAGCAGGATGTCTTTTTGGTCTGTTTTCTGAAAAGACACCCGCTATGAGCAAAGGGAGAAATTCAGTCTGTGCCATTCATAATTGCCTGCTTTCTTTATCTGTACTGCACAATTTCTTCCCTTTTCTTCCTGAGATGAATGATTTTTCTATAGATGTACCCCTCAAGCTCTCTTCATTTTTTTTTTTTTTTTCCTTTAATGCCTCTGACCCTGATATTTCTGACTAGCTGAGTCGTGCTCCCTGGGAGGTGTATTCCTTTTGCAAGCGTGACATACTTGTTTCTGAGGTGTGATCCCCATGTGCAGAGTGATTGAGTAAGTTGCTATTAAGTGCATCCTGTGCCTAAGGGAACTCGTACTTAATAATTACACGGCGCACATTACGTATTCTTTGCACGTTCCCAAAGCCTGCAATTTTCTGAGAGCATCCTATGACACTAGATGCTTTGCCAAGTGGGAGTTACAAGAGGCTCTAATGGAAATTACAACCTTTCAGCCTCCAAAGAAGTAATTTTCATACTCTATTGTAACGTAACGTTCTCTCTTTCATTAAGAGAAAGTTATAGTGGATTGTGGATATTTGAAGTTCCATCATCACTTTACTCAAAAACAAGTTGTGGGAAGAGGAATTTGCCGGTATCAGTACATCGGGTTTTCCAGAGTTAGTCCTCATTGAGGAAGGAAAGAGAAGGTAAATCCTTTTCTTCTCCATATTAAAGCTCTTTGAGGTTCTAATATTTCAGATTCTAGAGTTTCAAAGGCCTTCATTTCCCTCCGTTTGTGTAAGTGCTCTTAAGTATTTTGAGATGAAAGGTGTCATGAAAATACAAAATGAGAAATACTATGGTAGAAGCTCACTGTGGGTAAATGGTACGGGAATTAAAACCTAAAACGATTGCTTTGTGTGATCCTGTACTGGGTACAAAACAGTATGTACCACAAATAATATTTTCCATATTATATCTTGACGTGGATGAACTTATTAGAGAAAAAAATCCTGTTTCTCTAACTGCAAAGACCACCAGGAATGTTTGTGGGTTGATTTTTTTCGGTGCGTGTTTGTGTGAATTTTGACGTTCTCTGGTAGGAATTTAGTGGCATTTCTATAGGCCACTCTGAAACTGTCACAAAAAGGAATCTATTTATCCTTTCTCTGCATTTCTCCTTGGCAAAAAAAAAAAGAAAAAAAAAACAAAACCAAAAGTTCTTTAGGTGCGAGTGGTATTTTTTCCGGAAAATTATTCTAGGATGAGGGGAAGGAAAGGATCAGTCCTCTGTTTTTTGTTTTGGTGAGTACCGTACTGGATGAGTAAGTGTTCATCATATAAAAGATGGTAAAGGGACGTAGAACCTATTTGAACCTGCATCAACAAGCATCCCTTGTGGATAAGTAAAAATAATTCTTACTCAGACTTCAGTCTAGTGTGTGTGAAAAGCTACAAATACATTTCAGGAGTAAATTTCCCACTGGAATTAAGGAGACTTTGCATGGAAATTAACAGGACGCCCAAACTGGTTTACTTTGCTTGCTGGAGTTTTTCTTCTTAAGCATTCTTTCTTCTAAATACTGCCCTTTCTGTTTACTTGGACCAGTTGTCTGGCTGTAGCTGTTACTTTGCCTTTGCTTTAAATGGTTTCGAGGGTTTTTTGGATGCCTGCTTGGTACTTCGGAGTCTACAGTGAAGTGATCTGATTTCTTTAATTTTCAGCTTCTAGTTCCAGCATAAATTACTGTCATGGCAAAAAAAAAAAAAATTGCCAGCCGGGAACTTTTTCTTGCTTCCTTGTTGCCCCCCACCCTTGTAGCTCCTGCCTACACCAAAACCAAGAGATGAATACTTTGGTTTAGGGCTGTGATTCATACACAATACCCACAAAGTCTATGGGTTTAGTCAACAAGTCCTCTCGTGCTTGCCCACAGCATAGCTGTTACCACCACACCACCGGGACCTCCTCCGGTTCTCCATGGAGCCTCGGGGTCCCCGTCCCACTCGTACATGGCTTCATCATCCTACTCTAGAGGAACTGATTTCACTGTGTTACATGGGTCTTACTGATACAGTCTCACTACCATCTGATCAGGTTTTTTTTGGAAGCTGTGTGTGAAATGTTAGTTCAAGTGTGAACGTTTAATGTCCCACTAAGCTCCCACGTTCCCACTGGGAGATGCTCTGTAGCAGAGGTCTGAGTGCCATCAGGACCTGTTGGGTGTCGTTGTCCAACCAACTGCCCTGTGAACTGTGGAAGGAGTTAGGAAGCCAACCATCAGGTTGCTTTTCTTCCATCTGTAACCAAGGAAACTGGTGGGTGCTGGGGAAGGGGGAGAGCTTCACAGATGCGTTAGGTAATAGCAGGATGTTTGTGGTATTCTCAGAATCAGCCTTCAGATAGGTCTGTCCTCCAAACAAAACACTCAAATGAAGTCCTTGAGTAGCTGTTCTAGCAGAAGTTAAAAGATCTCCTAGTACTTTTGAAGAGAGCAGAGAAAAATAACCCTTTGTGTCCTAGCAGGCTTAATTGAAGGTGAACGAGGGAATATATAGAGCACAGTGGAAACAGAGGCTTGGATCAGGATGAGGAGGATTGAACTTCTAGATTGGCACGAAGGAGACTTGCAGACAGCAGTGGCTGCAGAGGAGGAGGTGTTGCCCACCAGTATGGGCAGGACTTGAGCAGCTATAGACAAGCAGAGAGGAAGATGTGAGTGCTTTAGAGCTAAGCTACCTCCTAGTAGCTACCTCTTACCCTTACTACTACTTGTAGTCTGCTAGGTCAGCTGCAGAAAGTCTGAGAGAACATAAAGATAGTCCTATGTAGGCGGGTGAGTGGATGACGTGAGGAAAGGGCAATAGAATTGATATTCATTTTCACTGAATCCAGAAATAAAAGAGCCACGGGGAGGATTTTGTCAGGGATAGTGAGAACAAACAGGTAAAAATGCAGAAGTATTGAGAGATGAGACCACTTTGTTGTGGAGGAGGGTGTTTTCACAGCTGGTGGTGTTAGGGGAGTAAACTGGAAAAGAGGGATACAAGCAAGATGGAAGTCTGAAAAGTAAAAGATTAGGAGTTTTTTTTAAGGATAATTCTCTTGGTAATAGGTAAATAGGTAAAGCAGAAGACTAGAAGCCAGCCTTCTCCATGAAGGCTGCTGACTTTTGCCTTTGAAAATAATTATACATCATTTGCTTGTATAACTGCATTATTATTTATACGTTCTACAAGATGTTTCCATTTACTTTTCCTTATAATAGAAGGTGCTTCCACGCTATCCAGGACCCATTTCCTACTATTATCTCAATAAACTTGCCTGAGCCTTAAGGAGCAAACTTAGGTGATTTATATAGATTTATACTAGATCTTTTCTCTTTCTTACCTTTTTGATTTTCGAGACAATTTTAAGAAAAAAACCTCGATGTTTTTTTTTGCCCATCAACTCATGCTGAGCTTTCCTCACTTATTAACCGTAGTTACTTGAATTAAGGATGAAAAAAAAAAGTTTTAGCCAGTGTACTTGGACAGTGAAAGGCTTGGATTGTATTAGTGTGCAACTCAAGATGATGAAAATTCTAATATACTAATTTTCCTTCATAAACTTCTTGACCTCTGAAACTCAATTGAGTCTTCTGTATGTCTAACATCAGCTCTGGAGGTAAAAGTTCTGAAATGAGATTTGGTGGACAGTGTTATTAATGACATGTAAGACAGTGAAAACTTTTTGTCTGACTTTGCCAGCTCTGCAAAACCAATTGACACTAAAATCTCTTTTTCTAAGTAAAACTAAGCTCAGAGATGTCCCATTTAAAACAGAAAGTAACTGCTGTTTTTTCATACTGACTTTTTCTCCTAAATAATTTGTCTTAGAAGAATTCCTTTTTAATCAAGATGAGCAAGAGGTAAAAATAAGTCCACTGCTGTCCATCCACAAAGTGAAATGATGTAATGCTTTGAAATAGAAAACAGCCATGCAATGATATTTCTGTGCTTTTCATCAGCAGTCATGTTTACAATACCTATTTTTGAAGGTTTCTTTCTTGTTTCCTCTGAATTTTAAGAAAATGTTTTTGACATTACACCTTACTTTTAATAGAGCAAGATGAATGGCTAATAATTCTAGAAGCTTAAAAATAGGTTTTGCATTGTCCTTACAAAGAATATGTATTACAGGTGATTCCAAGTGCCTTCAGCAGTCCCTGATTCCAGAGGTTTAATGAATTTAATTAATCACTGGCACAGCCTCGGGCCCTTGGGTATCCCCAAGAAACGCACAACTCCAGAATTACCAGCCAGCCAGTCCCAGACATGAACAGAAAGTGACAATGGTGTGAATAAATAACCAATTACATCAAGTCATGCCTGTTATTATTGGGAATTGATTTGATCCCAACCTGCACCTCAAGCTGGGTTTAATCTTACTGTGATAATTCCCTTTTCCCAGTCTCGTTTTTTCTGTATTGTCTCCAGCTTCTTTGCGACCTGCTTCTCTTACAGGTGACACAGATTGGGACCTCTCATCTCTTTTCCCTCTCCCTTTCCCCAAGCACAGTTTCATTTTGCATGACAAATGTGACAAATGCCACTCTGGTAGTAACAGGTTTTGTTGAGTCTGGAGTAATTGCTGCCTTTGGCTGGGTCTGAAATAATTGAGCGTTGCTTCTTCCTAAGCATTCAGCAAGGGTGATTTTAGGAGTCCACCAACCATTGGAAGACACTGGAAGGTAAGATACTGCCTAAAAATTAAAAAATGAAAAATCTGAAGCATTTGTTCAGCAGCTGTCTTAAGATGCATGGTCCCTTACAGGAACACTATCACGCTTTAGAAGCTCAGACCTGGCCTAATTTTATTTTTTTTCTTCATCTCTGTAGTGTTTGTGTGTTTCTGGCTTTTCTTTTAAGAACAAATGACTGATGTGGTGATCTCTTTGGAAAAAAAACAGTATCTCTGCTTCTAGAAACAGTGGTACAATAACAAATATGCATTCAGGCTACGTGTTTGCTATATGCAGTATCCTCAGAACAAGGTTAATCCTGTACTGCACAATGTAGAAACTGAGAACCTGTCATACTCTTTTTTGAGTGGACGACATTTATTGTCCACTTTACACTTTCAAGCTATCTATGGCTTTCTAGAACTTAAAAAGAAAAGACCTTTTAAGTCCCCTCCCTTTCAACACTAACTGACATATTTCTCTGACTCCCCTTCTCTCTAAAATAATCCCAGTATCTTGCAGGTGGTTTCCTATCTGAAACTTCCCTGAATTCCTGATTTCAGAGAGTTGCTTTCCACTCTCCCTAGACAACTTGCAAAGTTTTGTAGATAGATATCTATAGAAGGCAAAATATATACTGCCGTTGTGTAATTGGGGGACATCCTGGTTTTGCTATTCACATTTCACTATTAATGAAATAACCAAAGTGCCACTGTTAAGTAGGCAACATGTTAGATGGAGGTTTTTCAAGGTTTGCAGCAATTTTTTTCTGCAGCTGTTGGAGGCTAAAATCAGCAAATACGAAAGGAGTACATAGAGCATTATTACACCTGCCCGTGTGGCATTTCAGAAGACAGCTCATGTCACACACAGTATGATTTCATGAGGAGGTTACTGTCGTGATTGACAAGAACTGTGTTGGCATAATAGACTTCCCTGAGCAATTTGACTTAGCAGTATATTAATCTGATTTAAAATTGGAAGGGACAGTGCAAAGCAATAGAGTTGCTAATGCCACTGATGTGGCATGTGAGAGACGAATACTGCGGTGTCACTGTGTCCAGTTGTTGTATTTAGAATCATGGAACGGTTTGGGTTGGAAGGGACCTCCAAGATCATCTAGTTCCAACCCCCCTGCCATGGGCAGGGACACCCTCCACTACACCAGGTTGCCCAAAGCCTCATCCAACCTGGCCTTGAACACTTCCAGGGATGGGGCAGCCACAGCTTCTCTGGGCAACCTGTGCCAGTGCCTCACCACACTCTGAGTGAAAAATTTCTTCCTTATATCTGATCTAAATCTCCCCTCTTTCAGTTTAAAGCCATGGCCCTGTGTCCTGTCACTACACACCGTTGTAAAAAGTCCCTCTCCAGCTTTCCTGTAGCCCCTTCAGGCACTGGAAGGCTGCTATGAGATCACCTGGAGTCTTCTCTTCTCCAGGCTGAACAGCCCCAACTCTCTCAGCCTGTCTCCATAGCAGAGGTGCTCCAGCCCACAGATCATCTTTGTGGCCTCCTCCGGCCCCGCTCCAGCAGCTCCATGTCCTTCTTGTGTTGGACAAAAAACATTTGTGCTTTAAAAAAGTTGTACGTAATCTGAAGGCTTAAAAAAAGTTTGCAAATTATTTGTCTTCTTGTTTAGCAGTCCGTTTTGCTTAGTGGTATTAAGGAGAAGAAGATGTTTTTAGATAGGAAAAGTTGTTCATCCAGCAGATACTACTATACCAACATGTAATGTCCAAACCAAGAGAAATTCAGAACAGAGGGAAGATGAAGTAGTTAACCATTGGAATCAGGGTGGCTGTTGCAGAACATCTCCATGCAGAACTGTTCATTCCAAGAGCAGATGTTTCCAAAAGGTTCACAGCCCCACTCCAGAACTTTGCACTAGATGTGGGAACTCCCTGTTGAAGTGAGACGCTGTGGCTTCTTTCATCCTTAAAACGCTCAGCTCCTGAACTCTTTATGAAACATGGTAACAGAGAAGTTGAGTTAGACTTGTTCATCTTGTAAGAGTGTCTTTTCCTCCTCTCCCCTCGCAGCTTTTTAAGCTGTGCCATAGAGGACTGGGTTTCTACCAAGTGCACATACTTGCTTCTCCAGTGTCCAATGTTTCTTTCTAGGAAGAGAACGGAGACTATACTTACGTAGAAAGACGAAGAATCCCACTTGATCATGGCACTCTGCTAATGATGGAAGGAGCTACCCAGGAGGATTGGCAGGTAGGAACTCCTTGACACGGTTTGGGTGCTTTACCTGCAGTGCAGTTCTCTAAATCTGCATGAGGCATTCCCATAAAGGTGTGTGGGATGTTCTGCTTCCAGTGACACAGTTGTTTCCCAGTGCTTTAATACTGCTTTCTGCCTCGGAATTTCAAAGCACCCACAGAAACAATGGGTTTTCTTTCAAGTGCTAAAGGATGTTAATAGGAATCAGCTCAGATGTGCCAGCATCGAAGTTCAGCAAGGAAGGTTGCTGCCTGCAGCTGCAAGAGCAAAATCAATTTAGGAACTTGGAATATAAAAAAGTTGTAATTTAACAGGTCTACGTTAATCTACAAAGACCTTTTGTTTTCAGTGGCCCTGAGCAGTCAGAACATGAATTTTTTTTGCCTTAGCTAAATGTTTAGAAATGTTAATAAAAAGCCATCCCAGCAAATGAAGGTTTTTTTTGTTGCTTGCTTACCTGTATTTTAAATACACAAGCTCATTCTTTTTCCTTTTTTTTTTTTTTTTTTTTTTGTTGTTTTGTGGGATATTTTATCCCTCATGCCACTTACAGCATCGAGTGCCTAAGGAATATCACTCTAGAGATGCACGGATAAACTTGACCTTTAGGTTCATTTATCCAGAACCTGATGGAGTTTGGAAGTGAAGAGGCACTTGGATATAAACCCACAGCAGATCCAGAACCTCAGCTTGCTACAGGCTGAAAGGAAGCCTTACAGGAACAGAGTTCCGTGAAACATCTGATGGGAAAAAGAATTGATATTATGAAGATCTTTGGGAATCAGAAGCCGCCTGTGTTATGTGGACAGTGCTGGTTTGTTTTCAGAAATGATATGCTATTAGATGCTGCTAAATCACAGGGTTTAAGTTTGTGAAAAAACAATGATCGTTCTTCAAAGAACACAGAGCACGTGAAAGATCCAAGAGGTACCAACTGGAGCAGAAGGATGCAGTGAGCAGTTATTTTTGCACTTTCTCTTGTCTTCCCTTTCCCCCCCCAAGCAGTGATCTGTGTTCTAAGCAATGACAAGACAATTATTTTATGTAAAGCCAGCTGTGTGTGTGTGCTGTGCGTAGAGAAATGAGAAAGCTGCACTTCATGATGATCTCTGAGTATTACTGATTTCACCAAGGGATGGTGCAGTGGTTTTTGTTTGTAGGTTGCAAAATCTTTTCCAACAAAGCCATCAGGTTCGTTATATAAATAACTATTTGAATTATACTAGTGCCTAATAGGGTCAAGGCTCCCTTCTGCTCTGCACTCTGTGGTCAGACTTTATCCTAATTCTTTATCCATGTAGCCAGGACAGACAGAGGCAGCAAGCAGAGACACCTTAGCCACGAGCCAGGTTGAAGCTGCCCTTTGCTTGAGTATTAACACTCCCCCATCCCTGCTGGATTAAAACTGTTGCCTCTGTGTCGTAGGCAGGAAAATAGACACGGAGAGATGAAAAACGTTACTTTCAGAATTTGCTGATAAGTTCTTAGTCTCTTTTTTTGTTTTTAGCACAACTAAATTGTGGCTTGCAGTGATTTTTTTTGATGCATAGGTGGTTCTCACTGCAGCTAAATGGTATCTGCTGTGCTCCATCACAACATAGGGTTGGTGTGTCCTCACGTGCTGCCTGCAATAGGATCTAAGCACGGGGAAGTACTCTATGCCTTGTGACACGTTAACGTTGTGAAGCAACCTGGTGTCCCTCTTCAGTGCAAGAATAAGTTGGAGTTTAGAAAATGTCTGTCTTCTCTTAGCCAGCATTTGCTGTAGTTTAGAATTCTTATTTGATGAGAGCAGTCAAGTTATTAATGCTCAATTATGCCTAAGTTTTAATGTTATTGATTACCTAAAGGACAGGCTGTTGAGTCATTTCAATCCCTGTGCTCTGAAATTGGGCAGAATCATTTTCTTTGTGTAGCGAACAACTCCGGAAGCAGCTTCTCTACCTAAAGCACCATCCAGCTTTTGAAGTAACTTATTCTTCTAAAATGAATGAATGTTACTGGAAAACTTACTTTGTCGTCTAACGACGTCTTCGCTTTCATCCCAGTTTGTATAGAAATACATTTTTGAAGTATGTTTAATGTGAATTCCTTGCATTTGAATCTAAGATCTGGGCTCTGTGATGTATCTCCTGAGAAATTAGTGTTGAAGGAGGCAGAGGATTACTTTTACGTTCACTTTTGTTGGGTAACTGGAGCTTTGTGCACATCCCAGTATGTGTTCCCAGGTTTGGCAGTCCTGACAGTTGAGTGGTTTTCCTTAACCAAGAGGCAGTGTTTATTTCTCCAGGTATTCTGTCAAGGCAATGCTTCAGCTTTTTTCAGTTCGTGCAGCCTACATTTATTTACACCGTGTTAAGAGCAGTCATCCTGCAAGAGAGTGTAGGAGATGAGGACTAGGTGGAAACTTCTGAAGCCCCAAACCTCAGCCTATGGAAGTTGAAACACGTTTGAATTCCATGAGGCCACGGCACATAACTGATGGTAGAGCCCCAGAGGCTGACACTGTTGCAGAAGAACAGTTTTTCACCTACTTTCTTGGTTTTAATTTATAACGTTAGCAAATTGTGGGTTAGTTTCTTTACTTCCTTTGATCTGGGAGAAGACCAAGGTTTCCTCCCCAGCAAGAAAATTGTTGTATCCCACGGAGCTCTCTTGGGGTGACACCTTTTTATTGCTGATGTCTGCTATGTTCTGCTCTCTCTTGCGTGTCGACTGTGCTGCTGCTGCTTATATCCCAATCTAGTTGACAGTGAGGAGAAGGCACGTGGCATCATTCCTCCCTCTGTCCTGAGTGCCCTGACTGCAAGGGGAACAGTTGGCATAGAGGTCATGTTTCTTTGTCAGCTGGGAACTTGAGGGACGTTCCTTCCTCCCCCCACCTCCTCCCAAAAAAGTCACCTACTTTGCAACCTCCTGCCTGCCAGGACAGCAGGAAATGGCTTAGAGCTTAGGAGATTCCAGCCCACATCTCTTCAGGAGATCTTTCTGCAGGGACATTTTTCCTGTAGGTAAAAACTTGTTCCTGATTGCTGCAAGCACTCTTGCAGTTCTCCAAACAGATATGTGGAAAAGTGAGATTTGAGAAGTCTTGAGCCTAGTGGTGTTCTCATGGCACCTAAAGATTCTCCACTAGAGACCAGGGCAACTTGAAAATTTCTGGTGCTGCTACTATTCAGCTGTTTCTGCTGTTGGAGTCAAGTGCAGAGGGTGACGTATTTAGAATGGTAAATATGCAGTTAGGTTCCATTCTTTAATTTAAAGATAGCTGGAGGAACTTTTCCCCTAGTTATATGGATTTGAAAACAATATTTCCAAAAATACTACCCAAAAAATTTATTTTCCAGTCATAAGGCTTTCTTCCTTCCCAGGACTGTTTTGACAGTACAATATTCCCAGCCAAAAGCTGTTTGAAAAAAAGGTTTAAACTCAGAATACATTACATGAAATTGAAGTAAAATACATTGTTTGTCTGAAAGCAAAGGTTTTTGAGTACTCAGAGGATTCAGGAGCATCACCTTTTTGGAAATACAGTGGCCCTCAGATTTCATGATAAGGAGCTGACGAATGGAAGGTGTCTTTGATGAGGATGGATGGTGGCCTGTCACCCTGAGGGAACATGCAGGATGGAGCTGTTGTGAAAAAAAAGGGGCGACTGGTTCCATCAACAACATGTAACCATTCATTTATTTAACACCCATATAAACGATAACATTATTAATTAACCATGCTGGTGTCAGGAATCGCTCTGCCTCCATGCTGCTTGCAATAATCATTTAATCACAGAATACCTGAATATTCAAGCACAAGGTCTTGATGAGGTTAAGGCTGTATCTGATGGAACACTGCGCTGTTGGGCCACACCAGGTTGATCTGAGCACATGCCATTTAAAAACAATAGCAAAATTCCATCATTTCTCTGCTGTATTAATTTATTATTTTTTTTTTAAGGAATTTTCCTTTAGGAAATCCTTTAGGATTTTCAGGTTTGATTAGCTTTAAAGCCATAGATAATTTTATTCCTCCTGTGTCAGATATTTTCCACTTGTCATGACTGAACTGATGGGCTTAGTGTAGCTACATATAGTAGTTTATAGCTACAATAGTAACGTAGAAGGAGACAGGGTGCCAGGAAGGGGTTAAGAAGCCCAAATTTTCATGCCATAGTATTGGCAAAGTACAGAAAACTCCTCTCCTGTGGTTTGGGATAGAAGAGGTGTGATGGGTGCTGTGAATCCATAATGCCTCCTTCTCAAGTGCTGCTACTGTTGACTTCGCTAAAAAGCATTTAACACCCACTTTGCCTTTTCTGGTCATAAACCTTTTCAGAGTGGGTATGAAATCTGCCTCACTATGTTTTGTTTGCAAAGTGCTGCTTTTTCATCCTCGAGGTTTCCATAGCAACCTGGGCCATTTGTTTAAATTGGAGCTCACTGGCCTGTCCTCCCTGCACCGAACTTCTGCTGACATCTTGCAGGTATCATCTCTCCTGGCGTGCCTGAGAGTGACTTGTAAGGGTTACACGGGGGCTCAGCAGCAGCTGGATAGAAGAACACTGCCCCTTCCCTGAGGGCCATTCCCTCAGCAAGATGACAGGTTTTTGCCTTCTCCCCTGTTGCCCTGCTGGATTTACCTCCTCCTTCAGCAAGTTTACCGATGACACCAAGCTGTGTGGTGTGGTTGACACGCTGGAGGGAAGGGATGCCATCCAGAGGGACCTGGACAGGCTGGAGAGGTGGGCCTTTGAGAACCTCATGAAGTTCAACAAGGCCAAGTGCAAGGTCCTGCACATGGGTTGGGGCAATCCCAGGCACAAGTACAGGCTGGGTGGAGAATGGATTGAGAGCAGCCCTGAGGAGGAGTGCTGGGTGACGGGAAGCTCACCATGAGCTGGCACCGTGCGCTGGCAGCCCAGAAAGCCAACCGTGTCCTGGGCTGCATCCAAAGCAGCATGGGCAGCAGGGCGAGGGAGGGGATTCTGCCCCTCTGCTCTGCTCTCCTGAGAACCCACTTGGAGTGCTGCGTTCAACACAAGAAGGACATGGAGCTGTTGGAGAGGGTCCAGAGGAGGCCACGAAGATGATCCGAGGGCTGGAGCACCTCTGCTATGGAGACAGGCTGAGAGAGTTGGGGCTGTTCAGCCTGGAGAAGAGAAGGCTCTGGGGAGACCTTCCAGCAGCCTTCCAGTACCTGAAGGGGGCTATAGGAAAGCTGGAGAGGGGCTTTGGACAAGAGTGTGTAGTGATAGGACACGGGGCAATGGCTTTAAACTGAAAGAGGGGAGATTTTGACTAGATCTAAGGAAGAAATTTTTTCCATTGAGGGTGGTGAGGCCCTGGCACAGGTTGCCCAGAGAAGCTGTGGCTGCCCCATCCCTGGAAGTGTTCAAGGCCAGGTTGGATGAGGCTTTGAGCAACCTGGTGTAGTGGAGGGTGTCCCTGCCCATGGCAGGGGGGTTGGAACTGGATGGTCTTTGAGGTCCCTTCCAACCCAAACCACTCCATGATTCTGTGTAACGTTCAGTATGGCTTTGTGGAGTTATTACAAGCTCCCTTGAAGAACAGGTTAGCTGGCAGGTCTTTGACGGCTCACGCTGGCAAGACACATCTTGGCAGAGCGAGGAGGCCTTGTTGTAAGTGAAAAAAG